TTGGAAGAGGCAAACTTCAGACAAGCAAACTTAACACCAAGGAATGCTGCCGTAGAAAAGCCCGTGGCATGATGGGCTTTGTATTCAGTGTAGAATCATATTTAATACAATTAAAGTAATTACTGCAGTCTAGTCAGCCCTGGTTAAGTCTCCATTGGAGTTAATTAGCAAATAACAGTGAAATAGTCTGAACATGCAAGTGTTAAACGCTTTCATTATTAATATTATTCTTGCAACTGCTACAAGAGCAGGCAGGTCAAGGGTCCTTGGAATGCTGGATGTTGTAACATGGAAAATAAGGCCAGAATTTCTGTCTGGCCAGTTTAAGCACTACACATCTCCTACTAACCAAGTATCTGCCTCAAAACCACCAAAAAGTTCAAGTCCTACTTTACCCCCAAGCAAGTAACTTCTATGATCCAACACAAAATAAAGGGCCATGTCCATCTTAGATCATCTAATACCAGCCCATAAAGACCAAATATTTACAGAAAAGGGGGAAATAAAACGGCAAGGTGGAAACAGAGAGGGGCAGGAGAAATCTACTTCTTGTACTTAGGACTTGTATAACAAAAATAAAGTCTTGTGCCTCTCCAGAACTGTCACGCAGAATATTCAATCCCTGCTTAATAATACACTTTTAGGCAAATACCCGAAAAAGATAAGAAAGCAATGATTGAAGGCATAGGGTAGAGGGAAGGAAATGAGACATTGAATTAAGAAAGGTTAAAAGGATAGTCATGTTTAGTCCTGCAAAACAAAGACCTAACTGCACGCAACTATATAAATAAGGTTATAAAAGAGCAACCACTGATTATTCTCCCTATTCAAAGACGGAACAAAAAAACGATGAAACCATAAAAAGGAAAATGAAGGACTGAGAATCTTTATAACTCTGAGTAGAGCAAGCAGCCCAAAGGCTGTAGAATATCCATCGCTGAGGGTATTCAGGCTTAAGTAAACACCCATCTGTTAAAGAATATTTTGTTATAATCACTCCTGTTATTATGCAAGGAGGTGGAATGAGAGTCCCACCAAAGTCTGGGGATTGGATACCTACAATTCATTTCTTTCATGTTTTTGAAACATTTATTCAGAACAACAAACATCTGTTTCTTAATTCCCCAATTAACACTGTTTCCAGCCCTAAGGAATTAATCATAGAATTCATGGAAAACAGTTTATTTGCCAGCAATGGAGTAAAACAAATTGCCCACAAACTTCTACACTGCTAGCAAAGCGGCTTAATTGCTCCCCCTACCTCCACCCCTTCTTTTTTGGGCATTTTAATTTGAAAAATAGACTAGGCTAGAAAGTCGTCCCTGGGTAGAGACCTTTGCAGCCGTGTGTCAGCAGAGAATTACACAGCACTATAGACTCAGGTTCTCATTCATGGCCCTGACCTCCTTTGAAGAGCACTCTGAGATCTAACGATGAAAAGTACTGTAAAAAGTGCGAGATATTATCATTAGTATTCAGGAGGACAGAATTCTGTGGCTTGGTTGAATTCAAAGAGACCTGCTGATACTTATGAAAGCCGATACGTTTTAGAGAAGAAAATAGCTCTGACAGCACCATGAAGGTAGGCTGGCTGGGCAGGGTGGGGGCAGGCCATGCCTCCTGCCAATGCCTCCCAGCAGGCTGTGCTGCAGGCTCGCTCAGCATCCCTCAACCAACCTAATGCCCGCCCGCTTTTTCTTTTCCCCGTTGCCACAGTACAGTATTTTAATCTATTTATAGCCACAAAAACGAGGTAGTGTCTAAAATATCACCCTGATATAGAAGATTTGCATTATTGCGTGTGTTCTCAGAACCCTGGAACCCTAGTAGGGAACTACTGGAAAGAGTCCAGCGAAGGGCAACAAAGATGATTCAAGGATTGGAGCATCTCCCTTATGAAGAGACTGAGAGAGCTGGGACTCTTTAGTCTGGAGAAGAGAAGGCTGAGGGGAGACCTTATCAATGCCTACAAGTATCTCAAGGGAGGGTTGAAGGAGGAGGGAGCCAGACTCTTTTCAGTGGTTCCCAGTGAGAGGACGAGGGGCAACGGGCACAAGCTGGAACATAAGAGGTTCCACTCAAATATGAGGAGAAACTTCTTCACGGTGAGGGTGCCAGAGCCCTGGAACAGGCTGCCCAGGGAGGGTGTAGAGTCCCCTTCTCTGGAGATTTTCAAGCCCCACCTGGATGCTCCTGAGTAACATGCTCTGACAAGCTCTAGGCAATCCTGCTTCAGCAGGGGAGTTGGACTAGATGATCTCTATGGTCCCTTCCAACTCTAAAATTCAGTGAAATTCAGTGAAAACCCTATGCGTACTGGCACTCCTGGCGCCACTCTTGATGCTAAGGAGCTCTCCAGGCTACAGCTGGCCACCAGAAGATGCTTATGGCACAAATACCTGTGTGTTACTGTCTCTTACACCCTGCAGCTCAGTGGATTCACACCCTGCTACTTCCAGCCGCTGCGGAGAAATGACATGCAATGGAAAGTCAATCAGCATCACCAAATGTTCTAGCACTCTGCTTTTAAGGATGTCCCTGCTCGTAGGAGTGGAATGTGCTGTTCACCAGTTTATTCGCCTGCCTTTGCCACTAGATGAATTTTAAGTAAGCATCTATTCTCATAAAACAGAATTTCCATGAGTAACCAATGCAAACAACATGCACTACGATTCTATCTGGCAATGCAGCTCTCAATAAGAGCTCTAATATCTCTGCTGGCTTGGGGCAGTCTAATTGACCACTGTAATTTACTTCAAGGTTAACGTTATTTGGACAGCTCTTGAAAACATGTTTTTTACTAGAGCCTCCTGTACACATTTGCTGTGGTCGATCTCTTTCTACCTACTGATTTTGCCTATTGTTCTGTGTGAATAGTCCTACGACATCAATTAGTAACATGAGGAACTGTGTCATTTCCCCTTACACTCCTTAAAAATCTCTTTAGATAACATTTCTTTACCAGTGCATTCCAAGCTGATGGCTGCTTTACCTTTCCATCTTTCTACAATAAAGCTTTCTGCATTTCTTATTTGATGTCCTTATTAAATTTGCAGCTGCTCTAACATCTTTATATATTTATTAGTGCTACTAGACATCACGAAATGATATACTAAGGGAGAAAACACAGGCCTCCATTCAGTTTTAGAAGAGACAATCCTGAAAGCCTTATTAAAACTTACATTGTAGTTTTTGCATTAGTTTTATGTTTGTTTGGGGTTGGTTTATTTATTTATTTTACCATGCCATCCCAGACTGCTGTTTGTCTATCAGTTTCCCCATGGTTCCAGGGTACTTCAGATGACAATACACCTCTATATGGAGGCCAGGAAGATATTGACAAAGCATTGAACCCAATCAACCCAAGCCATGCAAGCCCTCCCAGTTATTCCTCGCTTTCCAAATGGTATCAAAACTGTGCACATCCCCATTCTTTCAGATTGCTCTGGGATCAGTTAATTCAACTGGGATCAGTTAATCTGTCACTAGCTAGGTCTTTCCCAGGGACAGGGAACAGGACACAAACTAAGTAGAAGCAGAGGAACCATAGAGATAAGATTGCCATCACTAAAAAATAACAAAAACAACATCCAGAACTATGAAATACGTTCTCACAGACAAGATCAAAAAACTGCAACTTTCACAATTAACTGCTTTGGGGATGCCATCGCCAAATCTAGTGCCACTAGGTGCTACACAGTTTGAAAGATCCCATTCCTAACAAATTCCTATCCAAACTGTAATTAAAAAAAACAACACACCAAACAAACAACTTAAACAACCTTTGGTGACAAGAGAACCCACAGCTAGGCTGGCATCTTGTGTGCTTGTTTTCTACTGACAAGGAGCACACAGGGATGAAGATGGGCTATCAATGGCTATGGCAGGGAGCTATTGTTCTATCAGCTCTACATGGAATCCTTAACAGGCAGCCAGCAATTACAAGCCTCTTCCTCCAGTAATTACAGGCCTAAGAATACCTCTTGAACAACATTATAGTCTGATTCTGCCACATAGTTCATGCTTCTCGAGCGCAATCCACTAACCAGAACAAATACTTCTTTTTTAGGACTGAAATCAAAGTCTTAACTGTCTGTTCATCTGTGTTTGCCATTGCATCCACAGCTTTAAAGGGGCTCGCGCTGCTATTTTAGGTGGCAAGAAACACAGACGAGCTATGATTTTTAGAAAATTCTTGTGTGCTGTCTTAAAACAATGTGAACAAAGCGTTCCACAACACTTTGATTAAAGCTAGAGAACTTATTGCCATATACACCCATGTACAACACAATGTCAATTTGCCACAAGACTCAAAACTACTAGAAATTACCATTACTATGAGCTCTTCTGAGAACGTTCCAAGTATCACACGGAAAACTACACTATTATTGGATGTTCCCAATATGTGTTAGCAAATTAGGTATTCTGCTAACTCATTCTGCTAGAAATGTTTTTCTTGTATATGAAAATTTCCCCAGCTGAAATCCCAGCCAAAGCAAGCACTAGCTACTACAGATAATTCTTTAGCAATTTTCTTGTCTTTCTTAGAATGAGAACTAAAAGCAGTCAGTTATAAGTCAAATGGTAACCGAAAGGTCCAATATTCCCAGACATTACAAAGCTCTACTTTTTCTGGCCTCTCAGACATGCATCTCCTGTGATAAGAGAGCTCTCTGATTCTGAAACATGCCAAAAGCTGGCCAAACTGGAATGTTATACTGAAATATTTTCTCTCTATGAAATGCAGGAGTAAAATAGAAATAAAGCGCATAAAAGGATTCAGCAAGGATATCAAAAGGTAAATGTTGTAAAAAGCCATCTCACACTTACTAATTCCATTGTCAGATGACTTTTGTGTTTAATCTTTTTATCACTGATTAAAATCTAAAATCCTACCCCATTGTTGTGGGTCCCCAGACCCAGTATACACCCATATAGAACTAACATTTGCTTTTTTCAAAGCATGATACCCCTCCCAGTTGCTGAGGCTTCTTACTCACCAGTTGGGACAGCAGGATCCATTGTTGGCTTTTCCCAGGTATTGATCTGCTCCCAGGTAAATCCATTGGTTCCCAAGGCCACGCTATAACCACAATTACTGTAGTGCTCATCAAATGAACAACCACCTAAAAACAAGAAAAAAAATAATAAATTCCTGTATTAATTATTTAGATCTCTTTATGGCAATTCATTTAATATTTTATACCCAAATACAAAGGTAAATGGAAAAAATGGAAAAATAAAATAAATTTCCTGCATATTAGATCTTGGGCAGGAGATAAGTTACGCTGAAAAATATTAACTTTCTGCCTTTTGTATCTTTTGGAAGCCTTTGTTTTCTTCACTCCATGCTACTGTCTATTAGATCAGCTCCCTTTATTTCAACCTTTTGTCTTTACGTTTTCAAGGAAAACAGCACATGCAGGAATATTTGTATTTGGGTCCCAGTAACTGATGCTTAATTACATAAACCTGCAAATCAGAAATTAAAAAAAAAAAAGGGG